ACCTCATCGGATGAGAGATTGACCAGAGGTACGTGCTCTATTTATAACGTGCCTTTGATTGCTATTGTTGATACGGGTGTGACTCATTCTTTTATTTCATTGGATTGTGTTACGAGATTGGGCCTTGTGTTATCTGATATGAGTATGAGTATGGTGGTAGATACGCCTGCGATGGGTTCAGTTTCTACTTCAGCTATATGTTTAAAGTGTCCTTTGCGTATGCGTGCTAGAGATTTTGAGGTGGATCTTATATGTCTTCCGTTGAGTCAGCTTGATGTCATTCTGGGTATGGACTGGTTGAGAGCCAACCATGTCTATATCAACTGTTTTGCTAAAGCGGTTCTTTTTCTCGAGTCCGAGAAAGAAGGAGGTTCATTCTTGTCTACTCAACAAATAAAGAGGTGTGTTAGAGATGGAGCTGAATTGTTTGTGTTGATGGCGAGCATGAATCTTGGTGAAAGGGGAGTGAGAAAGGATGTTCCTGTTGTTTGTGATTTTCCAGAGGTGTTTCTGGAGGAGATTACAGATTTATCTCTAGAACGTGAAGTAGAGTTTGTTATTGATCTAGTTCCTGGTACTAGTCCTGTTTCGATGGCTCCGTATCGGATATCGCCATCGGAATTGGGAGAACTAAAAATCCAACTTAAAGAGTTACTTGATAAGAAGTTCATTCGTCCGAGTGTATCTCCATGGGGTGCACCGGTGTTGTTAGTAAAGAAGAAAGAAGGTACGATGAGGTTGTGTGTGGAATATAGGCAGTTGAATAAGGTTACTATTAAGAACAAGTATCTGTTACCTAGAATTGATGAGTTGATGGACCAGTTGGTCGATGCTTGTGTATTCAGTAAGATAGACTTGAGATATGGTTATCATCAAATCCGTGTGAAGGCTAGTGATATTCAGAAGACGACATTTAGGACGAGGTATGGACACTATGAGTATTTGGTGATGCCTTTCGGTGTTACAAATGCACCTGGTGTGTTTATGGAGTATATGAACAAAATCTTTCATGAGTTCCTTGATAAGTTTTTGGTGGTATTTATTGATGACATTCTTATCTAGTCGAAGAATGAAGCGGAGCATGCCGAGCACTTAGGAATTGTGTTGTCGATTCTGAAAGAGAATCAATTGTTTGCTAAACTTTCTAAGTGTGAGTTCTGGTTGGAGCAAGTGAGTTTTCTTGGTCATGTAATATCTCGTGGAGGTATTGTCGTGGATCCATCTAAGATTGAAGCTGTGTCAGAATGGGAATCTCCTAAGTCTGTGTTTGAGATACGAAGTTTCCTTGGTTTAGCCGGATACTATCGTAAGTTCATTGAGGATTTTTCGAAGTTGGCTTTACCATTGACACAATTGAAGAGAAAGGGGCAAGCGTTTGTGTGGACTACTCAGTGTGAGGATAGCTTTCAAGAGCTTAAGCGAAGGTTGACTACTGCTCCTGTGTTGGTTTTACCTAATCCATTCGAACCGTTTATAGTGTATTGTGATGCTTCATTGATGGGGTTGGGTGGCGTGTTAATGCAAAATGGGCAAGTGGTGGCTTATGCTTCGAGGCAACTTAAAGTGCATGAGAGGAATTATCCGACTCATGACTTGGAGTTGGCAGTTGTGGTTTTTGTGTTGAAGATTTGGAGACATTACTTATTTGGATCGAGATTCGATGTTTTCAGTGATCATAAAAGCTTTAAATATTTGTTTGATCAGAAAGAGTTGAATATGAGACAAAGAAGGTGGTTGTATGTCAATGCTTTAGATTTGCGCAGATCATGTGCGTCGACTCGGTCAAGTGGAAAAGGGTTTTATAATCAAACCCCCACACTTTGTCAGAAGTTCACAATGGCCATTGCTGACACTTTGCTACCCGCTTGTTTTCTTTGGGTGATCCGCTCCCCTTAGATAAAGTAACGCTTTTCTTTTTTTATTTCATCTCAGTCTCCCGCTTGTTTGCTTCGGGTGATCCGCTCCCCTTAGCTAAAGTATTTGCTCTTCTTACCCATGTTCCCTGAGTCAGTATATCCCGATTGTGTGTTTTTTCCAAAGCACTTGTTTGTATATACCATGCTCCTTTAGGATGTGCTTGTTTCTTTCCCAATTCGAGCTAGACCTTAGAATAGGTATCCATGCATGCTAACATATGGTAGAGATTTCCCTTTCAAAACTCAACCTTAGGATCAATCATTGTATGATAAACTTAGGGATAGATTTAGGATAGTCTCCCTTAGATGTTTTTTTTTTCTTTTGTATCCTTGCATTAAGACTAAAACTCTTTTCTTGGAAAATGCATAAAACATCTAATAACTTTCAAATCCTTTTTTAAGGTAAAAAACATCAACCAATGAAAACTCTTTTGTGCCTTCGGGCCCCCTTTTTTCTTTCAAATTTTTCTCAAAAGAGCATGTTAGTTCTTTTCCACTATAGTTCATAAGTCTCCAAAGGTCGAGCAGGGGTGGAATGATTAAATTTAACATTGTTTAACTAAAAAATACAAACCCACCAAAACAAAAGAGTCGAACTATGGCTGCTCTGATTCCTTAAAAGGGATACGTAGGCATTGGGGTAGGGCCCGAACGAGCACAACTTTACTTTCTTTGCATTATTTTCTCTTTTCTTTTGCATGCATTCCTTCTTTATTTTTTACTTAAAACCTTAGGCATAGACTTTGACCACACCCATTAGATTAGACCGACAAGAGTGGATACCATAGAATACTACGAGCGTGTGGGGTGCTAATACCTTCCCCTTGCGTAACAGACTCCCTTACCCGATCTCTTGGTCGTTTTACCTTGATTTCACCCTTTTCAGATTTACTCGATGCTTACCTTTCCCTTCCTGTGGGATAAAAAATGTTCGGTGGTGACTTTATTGATTTCATATCGATGATTTGCTCAGTCGGTTATTTCAATCTAGATATTACAATATATGTAGAGTGATTTGAGTTGCTACTGGATTATTTTGAATTGAGTATAATTTTATATTTTCACTCTATAAACTTCCGCGCGTAAACTCTGAAAAACATCCAGTTATTCTCATTTGAAGAATCGGTTTATTTTGTTTTTAAAATGTCTATTCAACCCCCTTCCTCTCTAGATTGTTTTCAATTTCCATATTTTCACCCACTAATTTGCATCAAGATTTGGTCTTTTGATTAAGTCAGATCGACTCCAAAAGTTTTGAGAATATGGTGGACGATAATAATCCAAAGGGAACATGCAATAGAGTGTCAGTTTTCAAAGGTGAAAATTATACTTATTGGAAATCAATTATGTACGTACATTTACTATCAATTGACTAAATTTATGGTGAGCCATTACCGAGAGACCTTTTAATCCTACGGGTGATGATGGTGGTGTAAAACATCTCAAGGATTAGACAAATGATGAAACTAAAAAGGCTTCATATGATTTGACACTACAACATTTAGGCTCTCCAGCAACAATTGAAAAACGTTGCCAGAACTCTGAAAATCGTTGCCTAAAACAATAGGGGACGTTTTCTTGGCGTCCCCTGTGTGAGCGTTGCCTATTGTTTGAGGCGACGTTTTTTTTATGTTTTTTGGTAACGCTTTTGAAAAACGTCGCCTATAGTAAAGGAATAGGGGATGATTATTTACGGCCTCTGAGACAACGTTTTTTAAGCGTTGCATTGCCAAATTCGGCTACAATTAACAATCGTTGCCTTAAACCTGAATCAGGAAGATCGTTTTTGAAGTGTAGCCATAGCTTATAGGTTGTTGTTTTATAGTGTCCACATAAAATATACAATTTTGCAATTATTATCAAAATAATATAGTCAATAATAATTGGCTTCAAAAATAATATTGATTATATAACTTAAACCATACATCCATAAAAGTTGTAATATAATAAAATCGAGTTCAAACTTTAATTCAAGATATAGTATATAGAGTACACAAAATGCCTAACGTAACAATATTACTTTTAATACTTTGAAGTATGACCCTAGTAAAATAACTAAAAACATAGTTCAGCAACAAAAATCATATTTCAAGTTTAATGCTTTCAACTACAAGCCAAAAAAAAGACATCATCCAACTCATTCAAGTTTGTCTTCTAGGAGTAAAGAATCCAGATCGTCCTCTTGAAATTCGTTAGATATGTCATCCTCTATAAATTCTTCATCTATGTCGTCCTCTTGAAATTCACCATCTATATCCTCCTCTTGAAATTCATCATCTAGATCTATGTCGTCCTCTTGAAATTCGTCATCTACGTCGTCCTCTTGAATTTTATCATTTAGGTCGTCCTCTTGAATTTTATCATTTATGTCGTCCTCTTGAATTTCATCATTTATATCGTCCTTTTCAACATCTTCATTGATACATTGCTGCATAAGAAAATAAAATAAAACACATTAACCATAAGTATTTTTGGTCCAAAGGACAATTAAGACATCAACAAGAATTAAACCTCGCACAAATAAAAACTAAACCAATGAGCAAAACACATTGTTTATATTCTTCACATCTCATGGATGTGAATTAATTATGAAGGTTTTTAATGGATGTGAATTTTCGTTCTAAACTGTAATAGGTGACATGAGCTTACTAGCAAATAAATCAATTATGAAAACCATTTTGTTTTTGGCTCACTATTCAGGACTTACAATAGCCTTTAACTGTATGTATGTATGTATGTATAACTTGTGCTATCCTTTTATGTTTATTTTTTGGAGTAAATGAACTCTGATGAACACTCTTACTTGTTGTATCTTCTTTGGTGTTCAGTATCATATGTATAAATTTACAGCATACATAGTGAGTGTTATCAAACAAGGGGGTCCCATAATCTTATCCCAGGCAAGTATGTTTGTGAAATATCAATGAAAGCTCGCACAAATAAACAGTTTCAGCCACTTCTAGGTGTTGTCACTACTTAAACAATTTCAACCACTTACTTTATTCTAGGTGTTGTCACTACTTGCAAATTTTTGCATACATTAACAACCATTTTGATACTATAACATAATTAGAAAAATATAAATCAATAATATTGGTATATATGGTTACCTTTCCATGACATGGAGCATGAGTTGATGTAGATGAATGCATTTGCGGTCTTATATCCTTTACGGTTAACACTGCTGCCCGGTTTTTCACCATTGTTTGACTTGGTTGCATCCATTTCCTTTGACTTGTGAAGATCTACATAATCATCAATCAACATTGATGGGCATTCTGGCACCCTGTTTAGCTTGGAAAGAAATGAGACAAGTTTACAGTATATGCATTTCATTCATTTTGGTGATGTTATTGAAAAGTAAACTGAAGTGTGTTACCAGCTTCTGCCAGTTATGGTACACCTCTGTGATGTTTTGTTTCTTCCATTCGACCAGATCAAAAACATTCATACCATATGCCCATCCACAAGCACGGGGGTCGAAATTCTTTGCAATAAGAGGATTTGAGAAGTTGAGGTAACGATCAAACCGATGAAAACTTTATGTACAAGTTTCGACAGCACCATTTACATTTCCCTTCAAGTTAATTGACCAAAGACCAGTAAGATCCTTCTGCACAATTACATCGTCATCCAAAAACAGCACTTTCTTGAGGTTTGGAAATATTTCGGGCAAGTAGAAGCGGAGATGGTTCAACATAGATAAATACTTAGGATTCCGAAACTTGAGGTTCGAATCAGAAGAAGCACGGTGAGCCTTAAAGTAATAATCTATCATTGAAGGAGAACTTAGTTGCTTAAAAACTGGACTGTAACTCGAGTTCAACCATGCAAAATCTTCAATGTTTTGAACTTGAACTGCCGCCTTTCCAGGTGGATTGGCCAAAAACCACATCCTCATTGCCGCATAATTGAGCCTATCAGTTACAATGTGGAAAACATGTTTGGAGGAATCCTGAAAATTTATTAAAACTACATTATTATTATGTTGATCAGAAAGAAAAATACCACCATTATATTGTAACAGATAAGGTTTTTGTTTTCATTTTTTATCCATCACTACCTCTAGGCACAAATAAAATGAAAACATATTAGTTTGTTAAAACATTGAGAGAATAGTAATTTAACTGCAGAGAGATACTATAACAGATTATTTTATTTGGTGTTCAGTTTCATAATCCTGGTGAATAAAAACAACTCAGGAAATCTCCACGTGAAAATAACTTACCTTAGCATGGGCATCAGTAGAATTCACAACAACAGCTGTGGCCAATATGTTATCTGAGAATATTGCATAATGGTATAGTCCAGGGTCTTCTAACTTCTCTTGATTGGGGAATTGTTGCTGAGAAGAGTTCAAGTTATAGTATTCAGTTGTAAGGCGCAACGGAAGACAATGGAGACCTTTAGGCAGTGTTTTAGCTGTCAACTGTGTTAAGAATAAGGTATGTTTCTTGTGCACGCGAAGCTGGTCCTCTGATGAGTGGAGCATAGCCCTAAGCTTCTTCACGGATGTGGAACAATCATCTTGAATTTGCCTTGCTTTCATCAATGATTGCTCTATTTCCTTCATTCTCTCATTTGCACTGCATTAGTAGAATTACAAATATAAGTTCAAACTGAATAAAATGTAGATCATGAAGACCTGAACTATTCAACATATTTGTATGCTACTTCCCAATAAAGCTAAATATGAAATAACTAATGTAATAGCTATATAAAAATAGGAAAACCTGGTGACAAGTACAAAAAATACATTCTTAAAAACTCACATACTTCCTTGGCAAGTCAGAATCTTTGCTTGCCTCTCCAATTGTTCGTGAAACTTCCTTTACCCGTAGCCGAAGTTCCCGAGTGAGATGGGGAATGTTCCTAACTGCCTGAAGGGAAAGATAAACTTTAGCTTGGATGAGCTGATCCTTTAGTTTCCGTACTCGAACATCAGGCGGTGTTTCGTCACGATGCTTGATATTGTTTACTTTGCTAGAAGATTCAATATGTTGTTTCCCTTGCATAGTAAGCTGAAAGAAGATACACCAAATTTAAAGAAAAAAATTTCAGTAAGCACTATGGTTGGTTTTTCTTCATTGCATTAATGTAATTTTCAGACATATATGGAAAAAAATGAGTGTTAATTGCAACACTCATTTGTTTTTTTTCCAAATTAACGGAGCTAGCCAGGTATGGAAGGAAATGATTGAAGTTAATACATGTACGGTCCTCAAACCGTGACCATAGATAGAGTTCCAATAAAAGAAAATATAAAATTTATTAATTGATAGCTAGATATAACTTCTATTCTTTTTTATTGTTTCAAACTCAAATTCTAACTTGAGACAATATAAAATACATATTTATTAAAGTCAAAACAAAGAAGGAGATGGAAGGAAAGATTGAAGCATGCATGTGTTGTATTTATTTACACTGCCAGATTTTAAACTCATAATAGGAAAACCAATCAAAGAAAGTATACTAAATACTGTATTTGATAAATGATGCACAGCCCACTCGTATAAATAAACATGCATAACTTTCCTAGCATGATCAGAAACCTGAGAAAACTTTTGTACCCTTAATGAACAAAGTACTACAAATCACAAGCAAAACACGAGGTAAATATGTCACTTACTAAGACCTCAAATGCTTTATCAAAAGCATTAGATTATTTAGTAAGTCTCTCATCATTGTCGTCAGCATCAATAGCATCTTCCTCATATGTGACATGTTCGATGGAGTTCTCCCCTTTAACTCGACCTTCCTCATTCGTAGCTGACAATACCCTGGATACTACACGTTAAAGACGCACTTTAAACAAAATATATGAAGTGTTCATATATATATATATATATATATATATATATATATATATATATATATATATATATATATATATATATATATATATATATATATATATATATATATATATATATATATATATATATATATATATACTTACCCTGTAACGGCGACATCAACTATTTCAGGATGCAAAATTAACACAACTTCTAAATCAGCAGGAGCAATCTGTAACAGAAACATGTGTGTGTCATACACAACAACATGCATACAATACAATACAAGTTGAGAAACAATAAACTGTAATATAAAATTTTAATAAACCAAAAATTTTGATACCTGAAAGCCCTTGTATTTGATCATGTCTTTCAAACGATCACATAAATACAAATATCCATTCTCATCAAAATAAACAATATCTCCGGTATTAAGACAACCATCTTTATCAATTGATGTCATCGTAGCTTCTTCGTTATTTAAATATCCTAAGAAATAAAAGAAATAAAGTATGGTTACTAGTTTCAATTGGAATACAAACAAGACATGCAGAAAAGGTACAATTTTAGCAACAAAACAGCTGAAGACATTGAATCCATCTCATGCAAATATAGGTTAGGATTGATTTCTATAAACAAAGCATTTATATTAGCATGATGTCCTTTTTAATATCTTTGTTTGTATATATTTACAAAAAAAAATGAAGATTTATCACCTTTCGTAATCGAAGGCCCTCGCAACCAAAGCCCGCCACTTCTTCCTGGGGGCAAAAGTGCACCATTGTTCACGTCTACCACTTTTGCCTCCATGTTTGGAGCTAACAATCCTACTGAAGAATAGTTGTGAAACTTGTCACTATCGAAGCAGCAACTTCCTACTGTAGCAGACTCAGTCATTCCATAAGCCTAAAAGGAAACAATTTTAAGGTTGCACATCCTTACAATAAAGAGAATAAGACTAGTTTATTCTGATGTACTTTACCTGTATTAAATCAACATTAGGGAAAACTTGGACAAATTCATTTATAATTGTTGTGGTTAAAGGCGCGGTGCCGCATAAAACACGTCTCAAACTCAGCAACTTACTTCCATTAACCCGCTTCGCCTTTTCTGTCAATGTCACTAACATGGGTGGAACAACATCAAAGTGTGTAACATTGTATTCATCAATCACCCTAATAGCCTCGTCAATTTGAAATTTTTTCATTACAACAACCGTAGAACCCAACGACAGTAATCCGGTAGTAGTGAGCGATAAACCAAATATATGAAACATTGGCAAAGCAGCTAGAAACACATTTTTGGAAGAAGAAGAAGAAGAAGCTTGAAACCTCGCAAATAGTTCAACCATAGCAATTAAATTTCTATGCGTTAAAACAACTCCTTTGCTAACACCTGTAGTACCAGAAGAATACAATATACCAGCAGTGTCTTCTTGTTTAATAACTGGCCTTTGAGGAAAATCAAAGTTACTATAAATAAGGTTAAAGAAACAAGAGAAACAATCATACTTCAAATCCTTTTCATTTTCTGGCACAATAATATTTGGAATGTTGAATGACTTTAGTTTCTTAAAATTTTCGGGTATAGTAAAAGCAAAACTCACACCACACTCATTAACCTGCTTACGAATTTCAGCAACACTACTGACAGGATTCAATGGTGTAACAACAACACCTAGATACATAACACCTAATTGTATAATGGGATAGTAAATTGAGTTGGGAAGTAAAAGCAAAACAACATCACCCTGTGAAACACCCATTTTGTGAAGACCAGAAGCCATTGATTTGACTAAAGGAAACAAGTTTGAGTAAATTGACTTGGACGACGTGGACGGCGGACGACGTGGACGGAGGACAACGTGGACGAAAGCAGTTGAACAGCGAACGACGAACGGACGACGACGTGGACGATGAACACGACGTGGAAGTTGGACGGAGTGACGAAGAACACGGCGGAGGGTGTGAACGAAAGAGGTTTGACTCGGAGCGGATGAAGGACGGAGCGTCTGAGAGCGCGGCTAGGTTCGGCGAAATGTGTGAACGAAAAAGAAGGAGAATCGAAAGCTGCTGCTTTTATTTTCCTTATCTTTTTCTTTTTCTTTTTTTTATTTTCTATTCTTTTTAATAAGACGTGGAAATAATTGAGAGGACTAGTAATGAAAAATATTTTAAATTTCTGTGTTAGAAAATTTTTTATTTTCTGTTTAATGAAAATTTTTTTTAATATATATATATATATATATATATATATATATATATATATATATATATATATATATATATATATATATATATATATATATATATATATATATATATATATATATATATATATATATATATATATATATATATAAAATTTTTTATTTTCTGTTTAATTGAAATTTTTTATTTTTAAATTCCTGTGTTAGAAAAATATTTTTTTTTATATATATTAATAATGTTTAGAGAAAAATATTTGTTTTTTAGTGTATAAGTTTTGGAGGGAAGATTGCCACCAAAAATTTGATAATTCTAAAAAAATTTATACAACATTTCAGAAATGTAGCCTTTTATTAGAACTAATGTAACAATCTAAAAATGTCCCCAAAAATATTTTAGGGGACAATTGTCAAACATTGCTAAAGAAATAATATTTTAACGCTCTAAAATCGTCCCCAAAAGCAGTTAAGGGCACAATTAACAACCGTTGGCAAAAAAATAAAAGAGTATCGCTCCATAAATGTCCCCAAAAGTATTTTAGGCGATGATTATCAAGGGTTGCAAACATATTTTTGACAACAATCGTAAATCGTTGCCTATATGAATTTAAGGCAACAATTTCTACATGTTACCTAAAAAAGTGTTGCCAGAGAAACAAATGTTGTAGTGTGAAAGTGAGAAACATACTTATATCCATTTTAAGCGCTAAATTATTCTACTTGATTTCACATCTCTATGAAGGAACAGAAGATGTCAAGGATTCTAAAATCAATATGTTTACATAGGAGTTTTAATTGTTTCGTATGGAACTCAGAGAATACATGGAGTCCTTGTAAACTAGATTCCTCCACTTAATCAACAAATTAAGCAACTTGGATAAAATATTAAGGTCTATGTATAAGGATTGGAAACCAAAGGTCACTATCAAAGAAGAAAATGATCTTAGTACTTTTGATATTATAGAGCTATTTGGAAAGTTAGTCGAGCAAGAAAATGAACTGAACGACTCGTCGATGGGGAAGTAAGGTTAAAAAAGAAAGAGAAAGGAAAGGAAGATAAAATGGGTATTTTTTTGAAAGCTTCATCATATAAAGTTAGTAAATAAAGGAAGAAATTGACAATCCTTACGAAGAAACTCCTAAAAAGGAGGAGTTGGGTTTGCTCGTCAAGCGCTACAATAGATATTTGAAAAGGAACAAGCTCAAGCATTCTGACAAGGGTTTAATAAAATTCAGAAATACTCACATGCCTAAGAAAGTACACAAGAAAAAGGATGATACTATTACGTGTTATGAGGTCAGTAAACCAGTTCAATATAGAACAACTTGCCCGAGTCTCACCAAACATCATAAAAATAAAGATAAGGAATTCTACAATACAAATGGAAAATGTTCCAAAGGTCGTAGAGCCTATATCGCGTGCAAAGAAAGGGATGAAATCTCGTCCTCATATTCTTGCTCAAATACAGATGATAAGTGTATCAACATATGTTTGATGGTGTAATACGGTGGGAGAACTGACTTGGTTTTGTGTTTTATCGCAAATATTGCGGATAGCAAGAGTCACCATCGACTTTTCTTTTATCCAATAAGGAAAGTGTAAAAAGAACAGGAAAGACCTTGATAGATTTTGAGTTAGGGGGTAGGTTATGAAAAGGGAAGGTGTTAGCACCCTTTTCATCTGTAGTTATCTATGGGCTCTTAATCGCTAGCTCACGTTTGAAAATTTGTTTTTTGTGTAAGTGTTTTGAAAAATATTTTGAGAAAACCAATGTAAGGTGAACTTTGTAATAACTCTTGTATCAGTCCTCAAGAATGCGTACAAGGTGTTTGTTTGAAAATATTTCATTTTGAAAGTGTGATGTGAAAATATTTTGTTTTGAAAAATTTGTGAGCAAGCGATTAACAGTTCTACCCACTCAAAGTCGTTGTTGTTATTTTCCTCGTCCTTTTAGAAATAGTGCTATATGTACCATTAGTTGGTAGGTAGCCCTATCCGTTGTATGTGAAGGGAAAAGCAAAGGGTCATCGTACGGTCATTGAAGGCAACTTGTAAGGACGATGTAGAAATTTTGTAAGGGACTAGGTCATTTATCGAAAGGGTGATCGAGGGACAATGATCTTTTACTCGAGAGACTTTGCTAAAGCGTCCCTACTTTCGAGGGACATGACCGTTGTTTTTCCGAAGGCAACAGAAGAAGGTTACCCTAGAGGTGCGGGTGTGCAAATATGTTTGTTTCAGTTATGCTTATCTTGAAATTAGGGTTTTCTAGCGTTAATTTTTATCTTTCCATACAAACTCTAATTACTAACAGTAATATAGTAAATATAGTAGCGGAAAAAATAAAGTGTAGAAACATAAACCTAGAGTATTACAATGCTTTGGGGTAGATACATAATAGAAAATACATAAAATAAAAACCTATAACTATTACATCACGGAGCAGTTACATAATAGAAAATGCGGAAAAAATGAAAGCTATGCTATTACATTCGCAAAACTTATACAATTTGATCTATGAAATTAAAATAAGAAAAAGGGAAGAGGAAAACAAAAAAAAATTGGCGATTTTTATGAAAAAGGTTTTGATGATGATTAAAATAAACCTAAAAAGAATAATTAATTTTAATTAATAAAAGAGTTAATTAATTAATATAAAAACCTAAAATCTAATTTAATTAGGGTTTGTAAAAAAAAGGGTTTTGTTTTTTAATGGTTTAGTGTAAATAGGGTTAAGGGTAAAAGAGTTAATGTTAGTCAAAAAATAATATGGGAAGCAAAATTAATGGAAAGTAGGGTTAGAAAATAAAAACGAAAACAAATGTCAGGGGTGGGTGTTGAACCCATGCCCTTTTCTCTTCTGCCCAGCAAGGTTCACCACTGCGCCAAGTGTGTGCTGGTGTTAGAAAGACGTGTGCTATGCAAAATCTAATTAACCTGCAAGGATTAAGAAAACATGAAAAATAAAATGAAAAAAGCACGGATCAGACCCACGCTTTCTTGTATACATGCCTTATCACTCGTGCTTGCCACTGGGGTGGCTGTTTCATCTGATCATTCCGTGGGAACAAATAAAAATATAATAAACTTAAATCACTGGGACGGAGAAGTGTCGAAGCCCTAGCTTCGGTCGTCTTCTTCGATGAGTACGTTTCTAGTCCCTACAAAATAGAAAATGTTAGATGTTCCAAAGGACCCTACCCCCCTAATTCAGGTTTTGCGAACTCAATGGTGCCACTGGTTTTGGCTAAATCATCTTGCACACAGAGATACAAAGAAGACAACCTAGAACAGTGTAAACATGGTAGTTTATTGTTCATTCGTTATGGGGGCCATGCGATGGTCTCATCCTGCACATTGATATCTCAAAAACATATTAGTAAGGTTAGTATGCATCAAAACACAAAGAAAACAAAAACAAGAATGTCATGCAATATTGGAAACCGACGAAGCATATACGAGATTTTCAGGCCCTTTGGATCTTCAAAGTTGATACATTCTTACCCTACAATTCTTCATGAAGTGAATGGGACAAGTATTTGGCCTTAAGGGAGGCTGCAAGGTAGGGTTTCGATTTGCCCTAGTTTTGATATTTTTGGAATTTTGGAAAGGCGCTCTTGTGCAAAGTTTTCATGTCTTGTCATGTATGAAATAATGAGGATATATAAAGCTTGAATTAGGTCAAAAGGGATTGGGCTTGGTCCTTTGTAAGAAAGGCTTTACTTTATCTAATTTAATTTTGACTTTAAATAAATAAAAATCAAAATAAATAGAATTAAAAATCCAAGGGGTGTATGAATAAGTTTTGAGGTTCATATTGAGGCCTATAACATGAATGGACATTGAAACACAAGCCCAATAGCACAAAAATTCAAGTTTGGTCACTTTAGGTTTCATGCATTCTCAAAATTTGCCAACTTGCACCAATCATAACTCTCTCAATTTTAATCATATGAAGGTGATCTTCGAATTTTTGGAATGCTCAAGAGGTCTCCAAAAATCGCTATGTTTAACATTTTATCATTTTAAGACTTTATCTTGATGTAAGTTTCCTTGATAAAAAGTGTCTTTTTGTTGACTTTTGAAATGACCTATAATGTTTTGGCCCATATCTCTCAAATGAAGCATTTTTTCGACATTAGCTTAGAGTTAAAAAGTTATAGAGAATATAATTTCCTTCAAAATGAGCTTTGGTTGAGAAAAATTTGATGAAGCATGTGATAGTTGTTGTTGTACCCCAAAATTTTCCCTCTCACTTATCAAGAATTTCCTCACAAAATCTCTTTGACTCAAGACTCCATTAGGGTTTGACCAGCTCAAGACACCTCCTCATGCACTGATGACCAAAATTAGGGTTTGAGTTTGCACAATTATTTTTGGACTATAAATGCTTCATATGACTTTCAAGGATCATTAGGGACCCCAAAGATTACTCATGTCAAGTTTCAAGCCTTGAATCACACTTTTGATCAGTTAATTGGACAGTTGACCTAAAAATCAACTGTATTGGGGTAAAAGTCAACCATGGCCAATTTACAGTCAAACTTCATAATTTTTATCCACATCAACATATTAGACT